TCTCTAAAAATAAATACATACAATCTTTCAAAAGAAAAAATATTTTTAAAAAATGTCAGTCTTCCTCAGGGTCCTGCAGCAGGACTTTCTCCCCTCTTACTCTGATTCCACAGCTGACTCTTCTACTCTTAGGGCTTAACCAACTTTCGGTTCCCTCATCTACATCTCGAGCCTAGATCACTTGACTTCTCTTCTCTTATTGGTCAGCTACCTAACAGAGTACCTGCATTACCACATTCCTTGGGCACATCAAACCCAACATGAGCTAGTTCTACATTTGTCGTCTCCCGTTTTTTTTTTTCCTTCTGATTTAAAGAGAGAGAAGTTGAGATTTGTTATTCCACTTATTTATGCATTCACTGGTTGATCCTTGTATGTGCCCTGACCAGGGATCAAACTTCCAACTTTGGTGTGTTGGGATAATGTTCAAACAAACTGAACTACCCTGGCTGGGATTTTTTTGAAGTAAAATTTATGTGAAATTCACCATTTTAAACATTTTAAAGTGTGTAATTCAGTAGTTTTTAGTACACTGTCTTCACAGTATTGTTCAATGATCACTACTGATTCTGGAACACTTTCATCACCCCTAACAGAAACTCTGCACACCTTTGACCAGCCACTCCTCACTTTCCACAACCCCTGACAACCACTAATTATTTTCTGTCTCTATGGATTTGCCTCTTCTGGGAACTTCTTATAAATAAAAGCATAGAATATGTGGACTTTTGTGTCTAGCTTCTTTCACTTCGCATGTTTTTAAGGTTCATTCACTGTGTACCATGTGACAGTCCTTCACTCCTCCTTATGACTGAATGATAATGCTGTTGTATGGCTATGCCACATTTTATTCATTCATTCATCAATTATGTTTTGCCCATTCATGAACTAACAGATGTCGGGATTGTTTCCACCATGAATAATGTCACTATGTGCGATAGAGTACAAGTTTTTGTTTGATGACATGTTTTAGTTATCTTGGATATAGTGCTAGGAGTGGAATTGTGGGATCACGTGGTAGTTCCATGTTTAACTTTTTAAGGAAATGCCAAACTGTTTTCTAATGTTTTAAAGGGTTTATTTATTTTTATAGAGAGGGGAAGGGGGCAGAAAGAGAGGGAAAGAAACATTGATGTGAAAGAGAAACATTGACCGGTTGATTCTGATATGCGCCTTGACCTGCGTGCCTCCACCAGGGACAGAACCTGCAACATAGGCATGTGCCCTGACCGGGGGTTGAACTGGCAACCTTTTGCTTTGCGGGATGATGCCCAAACAAATGAGCCTCACTGGTCAGGGTGACCAAATTCTTTTCTATAGCAACTGCACCTTTTCACATTCCCACCAGCAAAGTCTGAGTATTCCGATTTGTCCTCATCCCTGCCAGCACTTGTTATTTTGTTCTTTCCTTTCTAATTATTCCTGTCCTATTGGGTGTGAAGTGGAAATTCTTTGGGGTTTTCATTTGCATTTCTTTAATGACTAATGATGTTGAACATCTTTTGATGTGCTTGCTAGCCATTTGTATATCTTCTTTGGAGAATATTTAAATCCTTTGACCATTTTTAATTGGGTTATTTGACTTTTTTTGTAAGAGTTTTTTAATATATTCTGAATAATAGACCCTTATTAGACATATGATTTGCAAATATTTTTCCCATTCTGGGGGTTGTCTTTTCTTTTTAAAAAATATTTATTTATTTTTAGGGGGAGGGGAAGGGAAGGAGAGAGAGAGAGAGAAACATCAATGTGTGGTTGCCTCTCACATGGCCCCCACTGGGGACCTGGCCCACAACCCAGGGAGATGCCCCAACTGGGAATCGAACCAGTGACCCTTTGATTCACAGCCCGTGCTCAGTCCACTGACTACAGCAGCCAGGGCCAAAATTTTTTTATTAAAGTGCAGCTGACATACAAGATGATATTAGTTTCAGGTGCACAACATAGTGACTCTACACTTACATATCTTATGATGTGATCACCATGATAAGCCAAGTAACCATATGTCACCATACAAAGTTTTTACAATATTATTGACTGTTCCTTTTTTTTTTTTTTTGTAATGTGGCTCATACTATGGCAAACAGGTTATCCTACTAAAACAACAAAACATGTTGGTAAATTAAAAAAAAATTAAAGATTTTATTTATCTTGAAAGAGAGGGTAAAGGAAGGAGAAAGAGAGGGAGAGAAAAATCAATGTGTGGTTGCCTCTCACACGCCCCACTGGGGATCTAGCCTGCAACCCAGGCATATGCCCTGCCTGGGAATCAAACCAGTGACCCTTTGGTTTGCAGGTTGGCACTCAATCCACTAAGCCACACTAGCCAGGGCACATGTTAGTAAAATATTGAAGAGTCAACAAGAAGATAAAGAATTATCAGACTAAAATCTAGGTGAAGGCAGGATCCAAAGAGTAAGTAGTACAGTGATGTCACTTTAACCCTAGGGCATGTACCTTACTTGTCAACTTAAGCTTGGTTTTTCTAGGTCTCATGGGGCAAGTGGGACAGACTGGAACCTCAAAGTGCTACAGTTTCAATGTAAGGGTGAATTGCAAGTAAACACACCCCCACCCAACAGACTGGAAAGAAAGTTGTCTTGGAAGGGAGCGATTTCCAGAAGCTGTGGAGGGGGTGCTGGATCTATAAAACAGTTCTCTCAGGGATATACAACCCAAATATACATCTCTTAATGGTTAAAAAAAAAATCCCAAACAATGAATATAGTTTAAAATGGTCCCTCCTGGCAGAATTGAAAGCAAATCCTCTCTGTAGGAATTAACTTATATCTTAGGCCTCAAAAAATTCCAGACATAATTTCCCAAGGAAAACCCAGGTCATAGTAAAAAAATAAGCACATACCCACAAAAACACGAGAATGAGTAAAAACAAGCAACATAAACAGATATGATAATTCCAATTATCTGTTAAAAATAAAAATAAACTAGTTTTGGCCCTGGCTGGGTGGCTCAGTTGGTTAGAGCATTGTCCCAATGCACCAAGGTTGGAAGTTTGATCCCTGGTAAGGGCACATGCAAGAATCAACCAATGAGTGCATAAATAAGTGGAACAACAAATTAACAAATGCATGTTTCTCTCTCTCTTTCTCCCTCCTTCCCTCCCTCTCTTTCTTTCTCTAAAATCAATAAATTTTAAAAACCTAGTTTTAAAAATTATTGACATATTGCACTTACATAGTAAACAATTTCAATTGTTTCCTAATATATTTAAAGGAAGTCTTCTCACTCACCTTAGTACACTCCTTGGAGGCAACCATTTTCCACAGTTTATGGGGTTCTTATTATAACTTTAAAAAAATATATTTTTAGGCCCTGGCTGGCGTAGCTCAGTGGATTGAGCGTGGGCTGCGAACCGAAGTGTCGCAGGTTCGATTCCCAGCCAGGGTACATTCCTGGGTTGCAGGCCATAACCTCCAGCAACCACACATTGATGTTTCTCTCTCTCTCTCTCTCTATCTCCCTCCCTTCTCTCTCTAAAAATAAATAAATAAAAACTTTAAAAAATATACATTTTTAAATAGGTAGTTTTGGCTTTAAAAGTGATTAAAGACCATTTTATTTCCAGGATATGTTAATATTCTCAATTTATAATTACTAAGCAAAAATTATTAGGGCTACAAAAAGTTATAGTAGTAGTCTAGGAATAGAACCCTCTAGGGAAAGTTTACAGCAGATTAGCCAGTCTCAGGAGCTTAACTGAAGACCTGTAATCTTTCTTTCTTTTAAAATTTCTCCTTTCCTTTTTCCTCTTTAAAACTTTGAAGTTTTGAAGTGCTATAGACAACTTAGCTCTTAATATCCTAGTATGTAATGTGGCATAGGACAAAATTTTTCAGTCATGTTGTGCAGTTAGTCCAATGATTGGCTATCTGCCCAGTCTTGAAAACATAGTTTTCAGCAATATAACCCTCATACATGCTCAATCATTATTATGTAAATTTGGTTTTTACCATTGGCCTAATTATGTACTTTGAAACATCAGGTAAAAGAGTATGTGACTAAATCAGGAGATGGGTTCTTGTCCTAGCTTGGTCAATAATTTGCTGTGTGACCTTGATAAGTCACTCAACCTTAGTATTCTCTCCTGGGTTAACAATTATCAAGATGTAATCATAGAACGTTAGAATTGGCAGAGACTTCAGAGTTCACACAGTACAATTTCCTCATTTCATGGAAAGGTTGAGTGACTTACCCATGAGCTTTCTAGAACAAGCTTCCAGTCTTTGGCATCTCAGATCACTGCCCTTTTCATTACATCAGACTTACTTTCAGTGTTGTTTCAAGATTCAAGCGGACAAAAAAGCCCCCAAACTGAAAACACTGAACAAATACACGGACTTTTACATAAAGCCAGATAACACTGTTAACCATTAGCCTGCACTGTAGCCTAAAAGCTTATCTGAAAATACCTCGTACACCCTTTGACTTAAAAATTAATCAAAATTCAGAATCCATATAAGTAAAGGTCAGAAAAATAAAGGGTGGAAAAAGTTAATGGTTGGCTTGGTGAACAACCGCAAAAGGAAAACAAAACTCACCAAGAGTACTTATATTCTGTTCAAGTCTTTCTCTTTTTCCCCCTAGTTTGTACAAAGTGAAATTGGGGAAGTGAGGACTGTTTTTACACATTTCTGAAAGAATGGCCGACAATAGGGGTTACTTGAAATACAATTACCTCTCCTATACTACACATTACATCAGTCCTCTAATTTAACGTCACTTCGTTTAGGCCACTGCCAAAACAGCACCCTGAAACCAGCAGAAACCACAGTCAACGCAAATACTCCAACTAGCGAAACGCTTGGTGGCTACCCTGCACCGCCTCCTCGCAAGAGCAGTCTCTTCGGTACTGGGAATTGTAGTCCCTCAGGGACTTCACTTCCGGGGTGTGGGGAAAGATGCGCCTCAGGAGAACTACATTTCCCAGGAATCTGTGCGTGCCTTCCTCCGCCTTCGCTAGTGTCGGGCTCCACCCTCTCCCTCTCCTCCCTCCCCGGACTGCACCGTTCATGCCTTCCTGTTAGTCTGAGCTGGATGAAGTTCACTCTGATCAGCTGATCCCAACTGACAACAGGAGAGGAGGAAGCCCGAGAGGCAGCGAAGGAGGAGGGGGGCGGAGATGGAGATGAGGATGGATCCACCGGTGCCCTGAGGAACAGCCCCCGCCCCCACCGGTGCCCGGCGGTCCCCAGACACCGCCTGGCCGCGGCCGATCTGCTCCGTGGTGGGGTCCCCGAGCCACCGCGGGCGGGGAGGGAAGGGCAAGGCCCTATGCAGGGCGAGCGATAGTCTTGGAGCTCCGGCTGCCCCCGAGGGGGGGTGAGGGTGGCGGGTGCGGCTGTGGTGGGGGTGGGGTGGCATAAACAATGGATTTGGCTCTGGCCCTGCCAGCGCTTGTGGAGGATTTTTGGGGACCTTCTTTGTTCTTAGACTCTGCTCCTACCCCTCGGGTTGTGGTGGTGTTGCCCGGGAGGAAGGAAGGGTGAGGAATCCCCGGCTGGAGAGAGATGTCGAGGTGTAGGGGGCAGAGTGGGCAGATTGTTTGCTTTGCCTGGCGGGCGGCGAGGTGTTCTTTTGAAAGCTGATTTTATGTTTTTCTCAATTGTGACAGGTTTTGATTTTTGTTTCCGTGTGGGAGCTGGTTGGGCATGTCTGAGGTTAGGGTGTAAATAAGGTCTCCTAGTCACTCCCTTGCCTTCCTTGTTTATCTAAAAATAAGATTGATAGATTGATTACTGTGGAGGAGGAGTAGGGAACATCTGCAAGGAGGCCTTTGCATTTCGTTGGGGCATTAGAATGGGTGTCAAGACTAAGGGGAGTTAGGAATATAAATGTAGAAGTGACAAAAGCCCCTTTCCTGGCCCAGTTCTTTCTTTCTTTTTTTTTTTTTAAGTTATTTTTAAGTTTCTGAGTAACAAAGAGAAAAATTGTTTCAACTCACTGCAGGTCTGGCTTTTCCGTGTGCCCTAGTGGAGGAATTCTGTCTCCTGTTGCTCCCTTTTTTGCAGTGAGAGAAGGGACAAAGGAAATACAGTAATTGTTTTTTATTGTTTTCAAACATGAAATAGTGACTCTTGTTTCCAGATTTAGAGTCATTAATAGACATCTGTCTAGAGTAGGAACAACTCTAGAACTTTGATGGAGCTAAAGTTTATTGTTACTATCATTTTTTAAAAGCTTTTTTACAGGCTTCTTTTTCCACCTCTCCCAATTGTATAGTGCACATGGGGGTGCGGGTCTGTACCTCCAAGGACTTTTTGCTTAGTGAAATTTTTATTCTGAATTTCATAACTGAACAGAGAATTTCAGTCTGGGAAGTAAAGCAGCAAAGTCTCTTTCTTATATACCTTGGGTCTAGAGGTAGTGGCTGTTTTCAAAAGGGCCCTTGACCCTGATTTTGAGAAGAAATTGCTAGGATCAGAATGAGCCAGTGTAAATTTTACAAGCAAGAATGAGAGTTCTTACAGGAGTTTTGGTGTTGTATTTGATCACAATATTGGTTTTCAAGGTGCACTACTGTTTTTAGATGAGTGAAATTTTTTTCTTCCTCTACTCTAGGTATCCCCTGAATATTGACTTGAGGTTGGATTGTATTGAAAAGTTCCTGACCACTCTCTTTCACTACCAGAACCTCGTGCTTGAGGCCCAACGCATGAGTCCATCTCAGTGAACTCATCCGATCTCTCTCAGATAGCCATAAAAGACCCTTCCAAGTTAATTTCGACCACATATATGTCTGCACTTTATGGAGGATGAAACCATCAAACCAAATCAACATTGCTGCTGATACAGGCGTTTTGGAAACAGAAAATAAAAAATTCAAACATTTGTGATTGTGTGCAGAATTCTAATGGGACACTGAGTTGTGTGTTTGTGTGTGTGTGTTCAAGGTGTTCAGAAAGAACCCTGTGGTATTCTCTGTGCAGTCTTCAGACTCAAAGCCTTTGTATTCACTCCTGGGGAAAGCCCAGTGACTGTTTTATGGTGGGTGATTTCCTTACCAATCTGAGTATGAGCGCTCAGACTTCCCCAGCACAGAAGGGCCTGAATCCAGGGCTAATGTGCCAGGAAAGTTACGCCTGCAGTGGGACCGATGAAGCTGTCTTCGAGTGCGACGAGTGCTGCAGTCTGCAGTGTCTCCGCTGCGAGGAGGAGCTCCATCGGCAGGAGCGCCTGAGGAACCATGAGCGGATAAGACTCAAACCTGGCCACATCCCTTACTGTGACCCCTGCAAGGGCCCCAATGGGCATTCGCCAGGTGTTAGGCAGAGGGCAGCCGTGAGGTGCCAGACCTGTAAGATCAACTTGTGCCTGGACTGCCAGAAGAGGACCCATTCTGGTGGCAACAAAAGGAAACACCCCCTTACTGTGTACAATGTCACTAAGGTCCAGGAGTTACTGGAAGAAGAAAAGATGGATGAGGAGACCAAAAGGAAGAAGATGACCGAAAAGGTTGTGAGTTTCCTCCTAGTAGATGAAAATGAAGAAATTCAGGTAAGCGCTTGGGAATTCGTGTGGTAGTGGGACAGATCTGTGGTTGGAAGATAGCTCTCAAAAGGAAAGACCAGGAGGAGCCTGCATTTTAATCATTAAAAAGCAAGACCCCTGGAAGCTTAAACTGCAAGGAGTCAGGTAGTTACCAGCAGCGTGCCCTTGGGCTGAATTTCTTTACCTCTCCGAACCTTAGTTCAGTATATGGTAGCTGATGTTATTATTAGAAAGAACCGATTTAGAACAGTTTTCTGAATGAGAGCACTTTGGCAAGTTGTGAATAAATGTGAATGATGAGGGACTGGACGTGTGCAGGGAAAGAAACACTGACAGTGAGTCCCATGGGAGTGCTAGGCAGTAAGTCATGAACCTGCTGTCTTGGTTGTGAGAGGCAGGTCTTTAGAAAGTGGCACTTGATAAGGATAGTACTCTTTTTCAGATGGGCTCTTCTTATTTTCATGTATAGGCTTCTGATCTGTAAAAGCCAGTGAAGGCACCTGGGAGTATAGGAGGACTAGAGAACATTCGGTTTGATTCCGAGCTGGGGAGAGGGTAGTGTGTGACAGGGGTGACTGAGGAAGGGGTAGTATAATGTCGGTACTTTCCTGTGAAGGTAGCATGAGGCCTATGCTTTCGAATGAAGACTGCTTGAATTCATATTCTGGCTGCAGCACTTACTGGCTATAGAATCATGGGCACGTTATTTAAGCTCCATGCTTCAGTGTCACTTCTACTTCATAGTAGTAGCTGAGGATGCAAATAGATGAGGAATGGAAAGGACTCATAGGGCCCCCCACATAGTGTCCACTACCAGTCTGTTGTTTTCATATCAGTGTTTGTGGTGCCCTGACTGAGTTCTTTTATCAGTGATGACTCCTCGTGTCTCCAGATTGCAGGAGCACTGATGTAAATTCACCGTTTGAAAAACTCCGCAATTACCCACTAAGTATTTCATCGCTGTACTTTTATTTCTTGGAGAAGCTTATGGAAATGAATTACATCATGATTCCTCAGGGTGGATAGTGCCCCCTTGTCCACGGAGTATACATTCCAAAACCTCCAGTGGGTGCCTGAAACTATGGAGAGTACCGGACCCTATGTATACTGTTTTTTCCTGTGATAAACTTCAATTTATGAATTAGGCACAGTAAGAGATTAACAACAATTACTAGTAATAAAGTAGAACAACTATTACAATATACTGTAAAAAGAGGTATGTGAATGTGGTCTCTCTCAAAAAATCTTACTGTACTGTGTGTACAGTGTGAACACACCAGACAAAGCAATGATTCATGTCCCAGGTGGGATGGAGTGGGATGGTGAGAGATTTCATCAGACTACCCAGAAAAGCGTACAACTTAAAACTTATTATTTCTGAAATTTTCTTTTTTTAAGATTTTATTTATTTATTTTTTAGAGAGGGAAGGGAAGGAGAAAGAGAGAGAGAAACATCAGTGTGCGGTTGCTGGGGGGTCACGGCCTGCAACCCAGGCATGTGCCCTGACTGGGAATCAAACCTGTGACACTTTGGTTCTCAGCCCGCGCTCAATCCACTGAGCTACGCCAACCTTTTGGTTCACAGCCGGTGCTCAATCCACTGAGCCACACTAGTCAGGGCTGGAACTTTCCATTTAACATATTTGGAACATGGCTGATGGAGAGTAACTAAAACTGGAAAGCAAAACCACAGATAAAGGGGAACTACTATACTTCCACTGTCAACTAAAAGCTTTGCTAAGACTGGCTGAAAGGAGCTCATTCAGTTATGGAAGAGTGACGTAGATCCCATCCTGCCTCCCTCGTTAGCAGTAATGTCTTCATTATGAATTATGCTCTAATTGGGTGACAATGGGGACTAAATGTTTTATAAACGGAGTGCTTGATTTGGATGATTCTTCTTGGTTCTGCCACCAACGCCCTTCAGTGGCAGCCTTTGGATGGTCGTGCTTCACATGCCGTCACTTTCATCAAGTGAGGGGAGGGTTTGGGACGAACCAGTAATCGTCATGGCTATGGGGTTGGCACTGAGAAGGATGCTTTTTGAGGGGAAGAGGATGTGTATCTTTTTTCTTCTTGTAGTATCAATACAGGTTCCTTAGTAGAGAACTGGGGAAATAAAAGGAAGTGTAATGAAGGAGGTAAATCCAGCTACCCCCCAAATGGTATTTGTCCATCTCTTTTTTCTTGTAGTGTGTAATGTGTATGTAATCGGGTTATTTGTAAAGATTCCTCCCTTCATAAACACTGGCCACTTCCCAGGAAATAATAGTTTAGTAACCGCAAGCAGCATTGGTTGGGACTAAGGAACTGGACATAGAATTTTAGGCTGTGATTTATTCTCTTAGAGTCATAAGTGGAAAGTACTTTGACAAACTATCCAGTTCAGTTTTCTCATGTAAATGTGTAAACAATTAAATGAGTGTCTGATTCAAGTCTAGATTATGAAGGCAGCTAGCTAGATTGTGAACTCCCGGAGAACTCTAAGTTCACTCCCGTGAACTCTAAGAGCCACGTCTTAGGCTCATATCGTGTGCAGTGGCGGGCACTGCACGCTGTCCGTGGATAAACGGTTGGTTGGCGATGTCACATCCGAGCTTCAGTTTTTTAAAAATGGGTATCACACTCATACTCCGTTAAAAAAAAAGCTAAAATAATGTAAAAGGGCATTCAATAACAAGAGCTTTTCTCCATCTTCACACCCTCAGTCTTTTCTTCGAGCAGTCGCCATTAGCGGGTCATGGCGTGCTGTTCTAGAATTTATTTCATGTGTACTTATGTATGTACGTTTATATCCTTTTAATTTTCCAACAGAAGTCAAACCTAATAAACTTTCTGTTCTGTCCTTGGCTTTTCTTCACTAAAAGACACATCTCGTAGAACTTCCATGATCAGTACATAGAAGTCTGCCTCATTATTTACAGGCTGCCTAGCATTCTGTCAAATGGTTTTTCCATAATTTTAGCCTGTTACTGGATATTTGAGTTACTACAAATAAGAATGTATTGACTAGCCTGTGAATCTATTTAGAAGTGGAGTCTTTTGCATTTTAAATTTAGAAACTTCCAAATTTCTGAACCTTATTTTTTCAACCTCTGCAGTACTTCCGTGAGTCTTCCTTGGGTTCGGATTTTGGTTCATAATAGCTAAAATTTAAAGAGCTCTTATTCTGGTGCTAGGGACTGTTCTTAGCACTTTACAAGTATGAGCTTATTAAATCCTGATGACAACTCTGTGTATTAGTTTCTTACTGCTTAAAGTAAGTCAGAAGTCCTAAACATGGGTCGATAGGGCTGTGTTTCTCTTAGAGGGAAGAATTTGTTTCCGTGTCTTTTCTAGCCTCCAGAGGCCTCCTGCATTCTTTGGTTTGTGGCCCTAATGGGGTCCAGCTTCAAAGCCAGCAGTATAACACCTTCCAATTCCTCTTTCTGTCTCTCTTCTTCGGTTGTCACACTGCCTTCTGTGTCTGTGGCCCTCCTGCCTCCCTCTTGCAAGGATCTTTGTGATTACACTGGATCCACGAGGATAATCCAGCGTAATTTCCTCACCTCTATGTCCTTAATTCAATGACATTTGCCAAGTCTCTGCCACATAAAGGGACATATTTGTAGGTTCTGGGGATTAGACTGTAGACGTCTTTGGTGGGAGTGGGCAATTTCAGGTTGTCACACACCATGAATGAAATAAGTTGTGTGTCTTCATCAGTTGGGGCTGCTATAACAGAATACCGTGAAGTGGGTGGTTTATAGACAACAGAAGTTTATTTCTCACAGTTCTAGAGGCTGGGAAGTTGAAGATTATGGCACCAACAGATTCAGTGTCTGATGAGGGCCTAGTTCCTAGATAGCTATCTTCTCCCTATCCTCACATGGCAGAAGGGAGCTCTCTTGGGTGTCTTTTAGAAGGGACCCATATAATCCCATTCATGAGGGCTCTACCCTAATGACCTAATCACTTCTAATGGCCCCACCTGCTAATACCATCACACTGGGTGGGTAGGTTTCAATATATGAACTTTGGAGGGGATACAAACATTCCATATATAGCACTGCATTTTATAGATGAGGACATTGAAGCGCAGAGAGATGTGGCAGAGGATTTGAACACAGGTGTCTGGCTCTAAGATCCTTGCTTTGTGTCCTGACCAGTGTGGCTCAGTTGGTTGGGCATCGCGTCCTACGAACCAGAAGGCCGCTGATTTGATTCCAAGTCAGGACATGTGCCTGGGTTGCAGGTTTGGTCTCTGGTTGCGGTGCACACGAGAGGCAACTGATCAATGTTTCTCTCCCTCTCTTTCTCCCTCCCCTCCCCTCTCTAAAAATAAATAAATAATAAATCTTTAAAAAAAAAGATCCTTGCTTTGTGACACTGCTGCTACTTCTGACAAAGTCAGTTAAACTTTTTGATTAAGCTTCAGATGGTCAAGAGCATCATCAGCTCACCGCTTCCTCATGGCTGCTGAGCGAATCACATGAAACCTAGTTCTGTATAACTGTAAGACTGTTGTCATTGAATAACTCCTTCCTTGTAGCAATGTTCTATGAAGTTAGGCTCCAACTTTGTTTTCCTTTCCTTGTTCCTAGGCATTTGTGGGTTTTGATCATTTTCAGTTTAGTACCTAAGGATTATTGTAGCAGTTTGTTGGCAATTAATATTATGTTACATGATGAATAAGAATAAGATATGTGTGATTTCCTCAAATTCTATGGCCTAGAGCAGGGGTGTCAAACTCATTTTCACCGGGGGCCACATCAACCTTGCGGTTGCCTTCAAAGGGCCGAGTGTAATTTCAACTCCTTAACAGTTAAGGAGTAGTTACATTTATACAGTCCTAAAATTTTTTCGGCCCTTCGAAGGCAACCTCAAGGCTCATGTGGGCCCCGGTGAAAATGAGTTTGACACTCCTGGCCTAGAGTCTCCTAAGATTTGTTGCTTGTGATTCAAGTATTCAATTTCTTTTGGAAAACCTAAAACAACCAAAAGTTCCCTTTTGGAGGTAGAGATTT